AACCCTAAACCCTAAACCAAAACATTAAACCCCAAACCCAAAACCCTAAACCCTAAACCCTACCAGAAACCTGAGCTTTTACTGAGGAGCAGGGGCTCGGTCGCCCGGGCAGCGACGTAGCTCCTTGATGCTCATGGAGCTTTCAAGGATTTATTAGGGTTTAGGGTTTAGGGTTCTTCGGGGGAGGGTGGTTGGGATTGCATCGCATTTTATCAAAAGAAATCAGGGTTTTCGCCGGTTTTGTAGAAGGTTTGTATAGGAGCTTATGAATGTTCTAGCAGAGTTGTATGAGCGTTCACTACGGAAAGGATGGTGCATTTAGGTGGATAGAACAAGGATCCTGTTACGTAAGGGATCTGAATACAAGTTCGGAGCTGTCTCGGGCGGCTAGCGCTGCGGAAGAGGCTTTTGTTTTGCACTTAGACTGAGGTTTAGGGTTCAGGGTTTAGGGTTTAGGGTTTAGGGAGTGTTTCGGATACTTTGCGAGAGCTGTGTCAGGAAGACGGCAAGTCCTTCGGCAACGGATCTAGTACTTGATAGGAAAGTTGGCCTAGGGTGCAGGGCACATGCTGTGCAGTTGAGAAATAGGAGCCCGACTAATTCGTCACGGCCCGTAAAAAAACCTATCATCCGATGGTGTTGATTACGGCCTCTATCTTTCAGGGTTCTCACTCTGTGAACCCTAAGCCCAAAAGCCTAGACCCGACAGTTAAGGGTTTAGGGTTTAGGGTTTAGGGTTGTGTGAAAAAACCGCCCGGGCCGTGAGGTTCAGATCGTGGATTCGGGCAGTTGGGCAACGCTCCTCGGCCATCCGGTTCCTGCAGGGAAGAGCTCAATCCTAAAGCCTGTGCTAAAGCTTTCCGAAGCCCCCGACACCAAAATCAAACCATTCAGATAGCTTTTAATTTGATCGGCCATACGGTTGATGGACAAAATCCTGCGTGACCTTATATACCTAAACTATGGGATTTATAGTACTATACTATATTTGGGTCATGCAGGATTTGGTCCATCAACAGTAGTGCTCCCTGCACCTTCAGCCCAGACCCTAAAACCCTAAGCCCTAAACCGCAAACCCTCAACCCAAACCCAATAACCCTAGAGCCTAGACCTCCAACCACTAAACCCTAAACCGTAAACCCAAAAACCCAAAACCCTAAACCCTAGACCTCAAACCCTAAACCCCAAACCGTAAACCCAAAACCCAAAATCCCAAACCCAAACCCCTAAACCCTAAACCTCAAACCAGAACTCTAGGCCCTGCCCCTAGCAGCTCGGCGGTCCCACGGAGGTTCGATTGCCACATGACGGCCTTCAAGAAGATCACCGACTATAACACTGGCTTCTTCCCCATCACCTATCAGGAGGCCTCTGATAGGGGTTTTAGGGTTTAGGGTTTAGGGTTTAGGGGTCGTAGCTCTTGAGGGCTCGGGATCTGGGGTTTTAGGGTTCCGGGCTTGGGATTTGGAGGTACAGGTTCTAGGGATTCAGGGTATTGGGGCTGACCTTAGTTGCAGCATTAACCCTAAACCCTAAACCCTAAACTCGAAGCCCTAAGCCCTAATTGCCAAAACATGGGTGGTTGTCAAAAATATGGTCCCTTTTTGGGTCCTTATTATTATACGGCACCTATTATTTAGGGCACCCCAAAAGGGACTATGATTTTGACAACTACCCATGACATGGAAGCAAGAGCCTGACGGCTTGAAAAGTCTAGGCGTAGGAGTCGTGCGCTTCGAGGCTTCAGTTCTTCGGGTGCAGGGTTTAGGGTTTCAAGGGTTTAGGGTTCAAGGTTTAGGGTTTAGGGTTTAAGGTTTAGGGTTTAAGGGTGTAGGGTTCAAGGGTTAGGGTTTAGGGTTTAAGGTTTAGGGTTTAAGGTTTAGGATTTAAAGGTTTAGGGTTTAAGGTTTAGGGTTTAGGGTTTAAGGTTTAGGGTTTAAGGTTTAGGGTTTAAGGCTTAAGCTTTAGGGTTCGGGCTTTGGATTCCACTTGGGCCCTTCAGGGCCTTCCCGAAGTCCGGCGCCGAAAGTGCAGGGAAGAAACTGAACTGAGGCTTCCTCTCTTCGGGTTGGGGCACGCCAGCCCCCAGCTGCTAGGCCCCTTTTAAGGTTTAGGGTTTAGGGTTTAGGGTTTAAGGTTTAGGGTTTAGGGTTTAGGGTTTAGGGTTTAGGGTCCTTGGTAGTCCTAAACCACCCAAAACCCCCAAATTTCCCCAAATTTTCACTTAAAATCCAAAGCCTCAAAACCCAAAACCACCAAAACCCTACACCCCCAAATCCCAAAGCCCTAAACCCCCCAAAGCCCTACATCCTAAAGCCTTTTGGGTGTTGTTGGCCCCCGCTTGGGAGCACACGGCCATGTGGATCAACCTTATGCACCCAACCGCGAGTGAAGGTGGCGTGTGATACTTCCTCGACGGGACCAGTGGCCGGAGTTCTGCAATACGATGCTTGGGAGAAGTTTGTGCTGGGTGTAGGGGTTTAGGTCTTTAGAGTTATCAAAACCCTCAGACCCGAACGGCCGTACATCCGAGAAACCCTAAACTCCTAAACCTTAAGCCCTAATAGGCCCTACCCGAATAAGCGCGAAACCCTAAACTCCAGTACAAACTAAACTCTGCAAAACCCCAAACCCTAAACCCCAAACCCTAATGAACCCGAAACCCTCGACGACAAACCATTTAGATTGAGGAACCGGCAAGCCCTGCTAGAGGCCTCAAACCTACTTTAAACTCTGAAACTTGAGAAGCCTATGGGTGGTTGTCAAAATTATGGTCCCTTTTTGGGTCCTTATTATAATACGGCACCTATTATTTAGGGTACCCCAAAAGGGACCATAATTTTGACAACTACCCCTATAGAAGAAGCCAGAAAGTTGGAACATCATTATCCTCATGCCCTAAAGGAAAAGTATAGGGAGATCCTAGCAGAGATCATCCTAAATCCATGTTCCAACTTTCTGGGAGTCACTATAAACCTCCAAACTCTAAAACCCTTACGGTCCCAACACCTGAGGAGAAAGCCTCTTTCCGATTCCGAGCGGTTCTTGCCTTTGCCCTGCACGACCAAGATGCTGCCACACCCAAACCGACAACCCTAATACAAAGGCCTTTCGAATCGAACATATGGTCGTACAAGAACTCTAACTAAAGATTCTGGGGTGAATCGCATTGCGACCCCGACCAAGCGCATAAAGCCACATAAAACCCTATTAAACCTTCTGGCTCATACCGCCCTTCCATAGGGGAATCAAAAAGGGTTTCGGTTTAGGGTTTAGGGCGTTTCGCAGTCGGTAGAATTGGGAGATCCCAAACCCTAAGCCCTAAACTAAGATACTCTTCGTCTACGGGTCTTGGGCTTTGGCATCCCCACAACTGGGAGATCATATTCTCCTAAACCCTAAACCCTAAACCCTAAACCCTAAACCCTAAACCCTAAACCCTAAACCCTAAACCCTAAACCTTCTGGTCTGGGTCTCCGGGTTTAAGGTTTAGTAATTCGCGACTCTCGGACTCCCGTATCCGACTGTTTTAAAGCCCTCTCAGGCACCGAGAAATAGGGTTTAGGGGTTTAGAGGTTTAGGGGTTGAGGGTTTAGGGTTTAGGGGTCAGGGCTTAGGGTTTAGGGGTTTAGGTTTTAGGATTTAGGGTTTAGCCCAAAAGCCCAAGGCTAGGCAACCTGGAAATGGTTGAAACAATGCCACCCAACCCCCTGGCTCTTCCTCGGCTAGGAATTTATGTGCTCGCACCAGCAGTGAGAAAAGGAGCCAACAAAAAGATCCAACCTACATCCCAAACCGCTAAACCCTAAACCCTAAACCGCTGAAGCCCTAAAGCCGGAAGCTAAGGACTACTGCTTCACGAAGCCCTAAACCCTAACCCCTATAGCCGGAAGCCAAGGACTACTACTTCACGAAGATCGTTTTCAGCAACCTCAGGTATCCGGTCCAATCTGCTGAGCTCACCATCGGCGGGAAGAAGCACCAGATGAAGCTCATTGGTGGTGCCTTGGCTCGAGGGTTCCTACAAGGGTTTGGGTTTACGGTTTCGGGTTGAGGCTTCCTTCACGGGCTCCTTGAAAGAGTCTACATGGGCTCTACAGGCTTTACAAGAGTGCTTTAAGCATGCTGCGGCCCCCAGCAGTACCCTTCTCGTCTTTTTTGGGAGGAAACTACGCTGAGTAGTGTTCAGAGAAGGCGGCTTTTCATTAGCGGGGCTGGCCTCTAGTGAGCCAGGGGTATTTCAGGGCTGTTGAATGGAAACCCTGGAAATCGAAACCCCAAACTTTAGTGTTAAAGCTCTAAGCGCCCTCAACCCCAACTTTAGGGCAGAGGCCCTAAACCCTAAACCCTAAACCCCAAAACCCTAAACCCCAAACTTTAGGGCAGAGGGCGTTTTAGGAGTCCGGGCTTGGGGCATCGGACTTTTGGAGTTTCGGGCTCAGGTTTGGGGGGGGGGGGGCTGGGGGCTTAGGCCTTGGGGGGTTCAGGTAGGGTTTAGGGTTTAGGGCTATGGCACGATCTTCGGGTTCGTTCCACCGCCACAGATGGCACCAACCGATTTCGGTTTGGGTTTCTATAAGGCTTAGGTTCAATGCCCTTCAAGCCTTAACGCCCAAAGGCCTTAAACTCTGAGCCCGCAGAGCTACGCCTTATAGCCCACCCTAAACCCTAAACCCTAAACCCTAAACCCTAAACCCTAAACCCTAAGCCCTATACCCTAAACCCTAAACCCTAAAGCCCAGGATGGTGGTCGGCCTGGACCGGACCCATTGAGGGGAAGACCTCCTTCAAGATCACGGAGGAGAGACCTGGCTCGGCCTTTTTGCTTTTAGCCGTGCCTTTCAGGGTTTAGGGTTTAGGGTTTAGGGTTTAGGATTTAGGGTTTAGGATTTAGGGTTTAGGGTTTAGGGTTTAATGTTCAAGGTTTCATGGGGGCTTTGGGCTACTTTCTTTCGTTTGAGGGTTTAGGATGCTTTGGGATACTTTGGGCAGGTTCTGCGCCCTGCGCCCTCAGAACCCTGAAGATCTAGACTGTCAAAGCCATGAGCCCGAAGCTCTGAACTCTCAAACCAAATCGACGCAGGAGATCTTTTAGGCCTAAGACAGGAAAGCTCCAAACCCGAGTAACCCCAGGCCTAATGAAGGCCTTTATCATGAAAATAGGGTTTTGAGGGTCCTTTTTTTCAGTTATAGTATGATATACCCCAAACCCTATTCCAATTATTGAGGCCCCCTGTATCAAAGCCCTAGAGGTCTAACAACCGACTGGGCCTTCTGGGACTGTCTTTCTGTTTCCCTAAACCCTAAACCCCGAGTTCTATCTCGCTCCTGTGCCCGATATCTTCTCCTAGAGTTTAGGGTGTGATTGGTACGGGGTTTAGGGTTTAGGGTTTAGGGTTTAGGCAGTCTGAGTTCTTCCTTCAGAACCAATTCGTGGGTCTCGCCAAAAAAGCGGACGCTACGCGCACCTCATTCCGACTATTTAGGCCTCCGCTGCCCCTAAACCCTAAACCCTGGCTTCAAGCCCCAAACCCTAAACAAAAGCCAGCACGACTTGGCTAAGGAACGGCTACGTCGTGAACTTTCCCAACTGCTTCAACGGCGAGTGGAAGAACCGGAAGACCGGCGATGCGTGCTACGCAAACAGAGGCCATCGCTCTGCAAAGCTCCTGGCCAATGACACCCTGCTGCTTGAATGTTACAGAATATTGTGGTATGTGATAGTGCATATCTTGAAGAATGGAGTTCTTTTTGTTAAGGAGATCAGTTGAAGTTGCCATCATGAGTATGTTGCGCAAGCAATATCAAGATGCTTTCCTGATTATGCTAATCAGAATTGCATTCCTTAACAAGAACCCAAAGAAGCGGCAAGAGCTAGACTACATCATGCGGATGCTTGCAAGTACGTCCGGGTTCCTGTGTTTAGCACTGTTTTCTGGCCCAACATGGTTGATTATGCTTTGTTGAAAGCAATCCTCACGCGGGTCACGACCTGGCTGACGCGAGAGGAGGCTCGGAAGAGAGTCGTACACCCTAAACCCTAAACCCTAAACCCTAAACCCTAAAGCCCCAAAGCCTAAAAGCCCTAAGCCCCTTGACCCTTAAAGGCCCTGTGCCCCGGAGACCTGCACGTATGCAGAGAGCCCGGCACAAGGGAATGTCTGTTTGGGCCTTGAAGTAGCATCTCATCTAGAACGACCCTAAACCCTAAACCCTAAACCCTAAACCCTAAACCCTAAACCCTAAACCCTAATAGTTCCTTATTATACCGCAGGATCCGGGAGCCTTAAGGGCTAAGTCGGGCTCGCTGGGTAGGGGCTTGGGCACCGGCCTGACCCAAGGATGTCTCGAGGATCGAATCCCAGAGGCCCACAAAGCAAGCCAAACTGCATCTGGGTGGTTGTCAAAATTATGGTCCCTTTTGTGGTACCCTAACTAATAGGTGCCGTATTATAATAAGGACCCAAAAAGGGACCATAATTTTGACAACCACCCATCTCAAGTCCGAAAGCCAAGACTGGAGACCCGGCTTTAAAGCCCTGAAAGAGGCCGAAGAGCTTTCAGGGGTTCGAGGCTGGGCATTGACACCTTAAACCCTAAACCCTAAACCCTAAACCCTAAACCCTAAACCCTAAACCCTAAACCCTAAAGATTGAGGGTTGTGACCCAGGTCAGAGGGCGTCGAGAAGACCGTGGAGCTGGCAAAGGTGGAGAGTAATATGACCCATCAGCCACAACTGCAGGCGAACAACACCGTCCTCTTCCCTTAGGCTGAATGGCGTTTAGCTCAGGGGTTTAAAGCCAGAGCTTCTGGCATGGTTCGCGACCTCATGACCAGCATGAGCCGCTAATTCGAAGGCAGAGATCCCACCGCATCTTCTCCGGAGGCTGCGGAAGGGCTCTGATAATCCCGCCTGCAAGCCTGGGGATCCTTTTGCCCGTCTCAGTGTACGGCACGACGAGCCTCACGGAAGGCCGCCTTGTATTGCATATTTTTCACGTTTAATTCAGGGCAGCAAGCCTCAAGTGCGCAAAGCTGCCAATGGGCCAATGTGAGTTGCGACAGAATTGTAAGAGCAAAATGGGCCGGGTCTCGGCGAGCCTGAGTTGCTTAACACTTCAGCGATGCCGTGCCTAATGTAGAGGTCTGAAGTGATGATATCCACTGATTGTCCTCATATAAACAGCTCGCAGTCACGTGTACATACATATATATATATATATATATATATATATGTGTGTGTGTGTGTGTGTATGTACACATGTATATATATATATATATATATATATATCCGTGTGTGTGTGTGTATATATACGCACGTATATGCACCCCAGCACCCGATTCCAATCATTAACGCCCTTATGTTACGGAAGGGATTATCTGGGTTTTTTACGGAGCCCTTGGCATTCTTCTAGGTTTTCTGGTAGGGCTTATGTGAAGTTGGGTTCATGCTTTCGGACTTTCGGATGTTGGCGCACTTGTGTATGGCTCTTTAGGAAGACTTGGTGTGAATGTATTTTGGGTTTTTCCCATGGGGAGACGGGGAGACCAGTCAAAAATAACAGCAGCAGCAGCAGCCATGCTTGATATTCCGAAACCTTCACCCCTGCGGGAGAATCTTACCGAGGTCAGCTGCTCGGTCATTGCTGGAGGAGTCGGGATGTCGAAGAGTTCATGGCCTAGGGCTTTGGGGTGTCGGGGTTTAAGCATTTCTCGGTTCGGGGTTTTGGGTTTAAGGGTTCGGGGCGTAGGGCTTTTGGTCAAAGTGTTTGGGGTTTGGAGTTGAGGGGATCAAGGGTTCCGGGTTTGGGGTTTAGGGTTTAGGGTTCCGGGTTTGGGGTTTCGCCCGCTCATGCAACAAAGGCTCCTGTAGAACCCGATAAAGCTCCATCAGACCCTTATACAACTCTTACAGAGTAGGTACTGAAGCCTTTTTGGGAACGGGGCTCAGGCTTTACGCTTTACGGTTTCGGGTTAAGTCTAGGACATGTTCAGTACCCTTGTAGGAGCCTTTTAGAAGATCTATATACCATATAGAAGCCTTATAGAAGCCCTATATACCCTAAGCTCCCCACCTGTAGTTTCCTTTAAACAATGCTTGTGACCCCATGCGCCAGCTCTCCGGAACCTGTGTCGCCTGCCACCTGCCTCAAGATTCCCTGCACCCATGTCAATGTGGGTATCACAGAACCTGCATGGTACCGAAGGTGAGCAGTTCCACCTCATGCACCGACTCACCTGGGTGGTCCTCTGGATTAGGGTCAGTTTTCGGGTCCTGTTTATAAGAGTGCAGTAGTACAATTTTGGGGGCCTAACAAGGGGCCCGAATAATTTGGAGAACTGCCCAAATTTCCAACCAAACCCTAAGCATCCCTACTAAACATCCCCAAACCCTAAACCCGTAAACATGTAAACCCTAAGCCCTAAACCCCTAAACCCGTAAACCCTAAACCCTAAACCCTAAACCCGTAAACCCCTACACCCTACACCCTAAACCCGTTAACTCCAACCCTACACCCTAAACCCTAAATAAGCCCCTAAACCCTAAACCCGTAAACTACAAACCCAAACCCTACACCCTAAACCCTAAACCCTAAACCCTAAACCCTAAACCCTAAACCCCAAACAAACCCCTAACCCCCGCCCATGAGATCCACAGCCGCGAGGATCCAATGACCGGCCGCCAGCTCCGCCTTGCCGCCGGGGGCATCCTCCAGGCGAAGTAAAAAAAGGGGCCTTTTAGGGTTTAGGGTTTAGGGTTTAGGGTTTGGGGTTTAGGGTTTAGTGTTTAGGGTTTAGGGTTTAGGGTTTAGGGATTAGGGATTTGGGGTTTAGGGGTTTGGGGTTTAGGGGTTTAGGGTTTAGGGTTGCCGAATTTGTGGTTTAGGGGTTTAGGGGTTTGGGGAGGGTTTAGGATTTAGGGTTTTGACGCTCTAAGACTTGTCTCTCTCAGGG